TAATTTGTAAATATGTTGGTGGTTAAGAGTTTAAAGTAGTCTAGGTTGATATTAAAATATTATTTATATATTAGAACAAAGTATTTAGTTAATGAATTTTTAATTTTTGGAAGTTTGATTAGGTACACTACAGGTTAAAATTTTTAGAAGTGTTACCCTTTTAGTATTTATGTTATAAACAAAATATTGGCCATTTATTGTTTAGTAGTATGAGTTTTTTGCTACTTTTGCATTGTTATACAGGTTTAGGATGGGTTGTATTGAAATAAAAGTTGGTTATTAAGTAACAGGAGAAAATGTACCCAGCTTAAAACGAATCTTTTACATCTGTGATCAATTTGGATTCAGATTATTTATATTAACTTTAATTGTGATGGATATTATTCATTACTGATTTTAATCAGCGTAGAATATTAACATTTTTTCTTGCTGTGTTAAGTGGGTTATTATTGTATACTGTGTTAGAAAATTTAGAAAATTGATAAAGTTTATTAAATATTAGGGAAATGAAGTGAATTATAAGAGTTGCTATTATTATATGTTGGAGTAAATCAAATATAATTTATTATTTTATATAGATGAGTTTTGGAGGTATAGTTGTTAGAAAAGTATTATAAAATTGGTATAATATATGAGTGTACGTAAGAGAGTTATAGTATTAATGTTGTTATAAAGCATTTATATAATTTATATAATTAAGAGTTAAATTGTAAATTGACATGTTGTCATTGGATTAGTATGTTGTATGGCAGTGTGCTGTGGCATAATATATTTGTCAAATATTTGTGTGTATTAAATGATGAATGAATAGGTGTTGATATAATATCAGAAGCTTACTTGGAGCTGTAAGTAGGTGGCAGTGTTGTATAACTAAAGTTTTTTTTATAGAAACCGTAAATATGAATAGAGTAGTGATTTAGACAGTAAAGTTGTGCTGAAATTTTTTAGAATTTGCATACATTTTGTATCAGGAATAGTATTTTGATTTATATAAAATTTTGTTTATTAGTAGGTGAAAAGTTTTTTTTATTTATTATTAGGTCTATTATAAATAAGGAAAAGTTTTTTGTGTCATGCCATGCTATGGGGAGATGATTGTAAGAATTAAATATGTTTGACAGAATGAAAATGAAAGTAATAATTTTGTTTCAGTTTGGGCAATTGGCATATATTCCGTAGAATGTGAGGAATGTGAAATTGAAATAATATTATTTGTAGCAATTGATCTGAAAAAGAGAGATTTTGATATACAAGCTGTTTTTGAAAAGAATGAATTTTATTCAGTTGGGGGTAAAATTGTACCTAGAAGATATAATAATAGTACAAGGTTGAAAGTAATTAGACATGCTTATTAATTTTTTTTATAAATTTAATATATTTATTTATGTATTATTTAGATGACGGTTTCTTCATCTACTTATTTAAAAATTCTTGACAAAGTTCCTGAATCAAATAAGTGCCCACTAAAATTTCATTGGTTGGAGTTGCTCAAGAAATACCAAGAGAGGTTAGTGATGACGAGAATGCTGTATTTGATGTACTTGTAAGTAATTATGCTGGTCAAGATTATAAGTTTACTGTGAAGGTTGCTTATCTATACCTTGAGCCAAGATTTAGTTATATTAAGAATGTTATTCGATCACAAGAGTCTATCGTTTTTGTGGTTGGTCAGATGGAATTGATTGATGATGGTTTTTTTATATATGCAAAAGATATTAATAATATAGATATTAATAAGATAAAGATTTCTGATGACAGTAGTTTTCAAACATCATTAGGATCTACAAATTTGACCTGATCAAAGTTATTAAATATTTACCAAAAGGGTTTTAAAAATTCAGAGAAAGTAGTTGAAAATAAATTATCGGATGAACCACAATCTCCAAAGCATTTAAGAACTGATTACATGAATGAACAAGATTTATTAAGTGTTGAAAATGCTAATTATCTAGAAGAACAGGTTGATTGTAGGTTTCAGTCAGAAGAAAGTGATATTGTTACAAGTTTGATCGAAAAGAAAAAGTCGAAAAAAAATTGACAAGTAATGTCAACAAAAGTCAAATGAAATCTGGATATGATGGGGAAAAGGACAAGGTTCATTTAACTCGTAGTACAACTCGCAATAGTGATAAATTAACTGATTCTATTGATGAAGAATAATAGTAAAATGAATTATATTTTTTTTATTAAAAATTTAGTACATAAATAAAAATAAATTGTGATTATTTATTTTTGATTATAATATAACAAAATGTTTTAAGCAAAATGAAAGTGTTTCTATATATTTTATTTGTAAAAAATAAAGGTTATATTATATAAACAATTGATATTTTTTGAAAATAATTTGCTTTTTTTTTTATAAAACTCTTAAGTGATGGTTTGCTATTAGTTTAAACAAATGAATTCGGGATTATTGAAGATCAAGTACTTCTTGGTAAACAATGTTTTTTGTTCTGTTTTGACCAGATAGAAGTTTAACCTTTATAGAGGAAAAACTTTTCGCTCACAAAAATGCAACATACAGTTGTCTGTGGCTGAAAACTGGTTCTGTAAGCATTAAACCAACATGTTTAAATGTTTGACTCTGTGATTTATTTATTGTCATAGTGAATGCAAGTCAAATAGGAAATTGAGTTCTTGTGAATTGAAAAGGTAATAAATCATCTGTTGGGCATAATTTGATTCTTGGTATCAAGACTCATTGGTTAGTGTTGTTTTCATTTATTAGTTTACAATTTAAAACAGGTTGTGCATTTGTCTTATGATCATTCTTGTTCCATTGCAAAGGCCTTGATTAATATTAAGATTGCGTAGTAACATTATAACAGCACCTTCTTTAAGGAATAAATGATGTGGTGGAAGTCCATTTGGAGTTAAAGTATACAAAAATTCTTCTGGAAATTCTGTTGGATTTTCATTTTGTTCATAAGTTGCTTTATCGATACTAAGATATTTTTTTTCCTGATCACACATTCGTTGAATAACTTCATTACATACATCAAGAGTCATTTGATTTTTAGGACAAAGGATAACAGTGGAAAGTAAGATTTTTTCATCATTATTTTTCAACACATCATTAAAAACATCAGCTACTAAATCACCTACTGAAATGCATTGCACTGGAATTTCGATTTCATCATTAGTCGTGGAAAGGGTTCTGTTTCCAAGATGAAGAAGCCATTGTGCAAATTCTATTTCTTCAGCATAAGTTCTCATATTTTGATAAAGCTGTATAATATTAAAATATTTCCAAAGATGTGATTTTTTAATACATGCAGAAACACAAGCAGCTCTTGATCCTTTTCAGACTACAGGCAAAACTTGTCAGAAATCACCACCCAGTACCATAATTTTTCCTCCAAACAGTTGTTTGGATTGCATTAAATCATGAAGGCCGATTTCAATTATATCTAAAACTTGGTAAGAAGCCATCAGAGCTTCATCCCAAATGATTACCTTGGCTTTTCTAATAAGTTCTGCATCTTTACTATTAGTAGTTAATAGTATTCGTAAATTTTGATCTAATGTTAATAGCAATTTGAATCGGCTATATACTGTAGTTGCTTTTGGTAATAAATTGGCTACAATGCCTGTCCAAGCGACTATTATTATATTAATATTTAGTCCAGTTAGGATATAGTATAGTGTTATATACAAAAATGTTTTACCGGTTCCACCAAGTTCATCGACAAATATACACTTGTTATTGTTATGTCTATTAACTGTTGCCATAATTTTGTCAACAATACATTTTTGTTCATTATTAAGCATGAAGTACATCCTTTTAACATTTATTTTTTCTTGATCTGTATTAATCAAATTTTCATTGTTAGGTACATTAATAGTCGTAGGATACGGGATGAGGAAATCTTTTTCAAGAGATTTATAGAATTGAGATAAAGTTTTATCGATGTCTTTGTAGGCAAGAAGTAATGCAGTTTCATTGTTGTGATTACAGCAAAATCATCACAAAAATATTCTTTATATTAGTTCCAAAGTAATAATGGGTTACTAATGTCATTCTATATTAATATCATTGCAAACAATAGCCTTAGTTCTCTTGGCATTTGCCAATTAATCGCCTTATTTAAACACTGATCTCATTTATTATCATCACTTAATAGTTCTCTTGCCAAAGTAGTTTCTTAGAAAGAATTATATATATAACCATTAACAGTTTTAAGGTCTTTGAAGCCTAGAGCACCAGGTGTGTGTAATAGTAATAATCGAAGCCAAAAGCATTTTATATCTGAAGGAAAAACCGAATACATTCTACTAATAATTTTTTCATTAGATTTTACTTATTTTTTTTACACTTTTTTTTGCTTATTAAAAGTATAATACAGTAAAATATCATGATATGAAATCATTTTTGCATTAGAATCTTCTTTATTTAGATCAAACCATGCTGTTAACATTGTAGTTTGATTGAGTGCATTACGAAGGATTTCTAATTTATTTTCTGCAGTAAAGTAAACATTATGTTTTTGGAGTAAATATATAGGTAATCTAATAATGGTATGTGATTTCTCTTGCATTTTATATTCACTTAATCTCCAAAATGCTTCAGGTGCACTAATATAGCAAGTGTTGATGTAAGCTGAAATTTTATCAAGATCAAGTACTTGCATGCCATTATTTCTGATAGTTTTTAGTTTTAATCTTGCGCAATCGTAATCTTTAAAAATATATTTATATAGATACTTGAAACTTTTTACAGTAGAACAAATTTTAACATTTATATGAGCTTGAAATTTTAAAAGTAAGTACAAATTATGTGGTATAATCCATTGATTATCAATTTCATATTTTCTAACTAACATTTTTCTGCCAGTGTTTCTTCTTCGGTATTTTGGAAATCCATTTTCATCTACAATCGTCTCAGAACAGAATTCTTTAGGATAGTTTTTAGTACATACATATTTACTTTTTTCATTCATACATGGAGCTCTATAGTTTAAATATCTGCATGGACCATGAACCATTATTTTTGCAATTATTTCATACAATTATGGATTTTCAATAGGGTCTGGTATTTCACAATTTATGATCTGATTAATAATATCTGGATTACATGGTTTGTCTTTGTTAGCTAAAATTAATAGCATATGACAATATGGTAATCTGCATTTTTGAAATTCAATTACTCTCATATACACAATCACTTTCCCAAAGATATCTTTTTTTATTAAATCATTTAATAACATGTCTAACTTAAGTTTAAACACTTTAGATATGATATTAGGCCTGTCTGCAGTAATTTGTTTAGAATATAAGGATTGAGAAATTTCTTTCCAAGCTTGATTACAAGTAATAGTTAGAAAAATATCTGGTTTGCCATATGTTCGACATATAGCTATCACATCTTGATAATTTTGTTGCATTGCTCTTGGACTTCTGGGAAAACTTGATGACAAAACAATAGCACATCCTGGAACTACACCCCGTTCTTCTGTTGCTGTAGTCAAGTAATCAGATAATCTGCTATAAGTTTCAGTTTGTAGAGTTGTTTAATTTTGTCATTGATAGTTTAGACTTGTTTCTTCAACCTTTACATACACATCAACTAAATACTGTTGAAAAAGAGATTTAGCATGAAGGATAGAATTAATAGCATTTCTTTGTGCTATTCTATAACAATAAAATTGTAACATAGATATATTTTTTCAGTTTGTTTGAATTTGCTTACAATTTGGCATCTGGGAATGCCAGCCTATATCCCCTCTTGGAAATAATAACAGATATGACATTGGATCACAATGTTTATTAATTACTGGGATTGTTGTAAGTTGATCACTGTATGGACATATCGCAAGACAATGAGAGGGAAAATTTTTATCCTCCAGGCCAAGTAGTACTGCAGCAACTTCATTGACTCTTGGTATATTGTAGCAACATTGATCGAGACGAAGATTATTATCAAAAATCATTTGCAATTCTAATGAAGAATGGTTTTGTTGTATTGCAATATTACTTTCTTCTTCGTATGCATCTCTCATCATTCTAAACGCATGTATGTAAGGACTTATCTGTCAAAGTATTGAATCTAACAATGAAAGTAATGTGGAATTAAGTTGTACATTTAATAAATTATTATTTCAGTATTCCTGGGTTTCACTTGTGTTTAAAAAATAAAATTATCCAAAAATCGGTATATCATCTGCATTTGGTTGCACAGGACCAAGAAAATAATATATTTGTCCTGATATCTTATATATATATGGTCCACAGCCAGAAAATGATTGAATATTCGATACAATAGAAGCAAATGCCATAGTACTGTTATAATTACGAATATTTTTGTAAAAAGTTTGTGACAGGGGATGATTATTAAGAAATAGAGATTTTAATTTATCTGGAAATGCTAAAACTGATAATAATATGATAGAACCTTTATGACAGCAAGAAGTAAATTGGTACAAGTTTCCAGCAGTTCATTCTCTTGGAAAATGAAATGCTCCACAATTACAACATGGAATTTCCATTTGCCCAACATCAACCTCTATAGGAAAATCATTTGTGAAATTTAGTGCTTCTTGATAGTGTCTTGATGATAATGTGTGATTTTTTTTTTTAACTAAGCGATTTTTACGTCTAGCATTAGTTTCCTGTATCCTTACTGAGTTCGCATTAGGACCTTGTCTCCTATGTCACTGATGAAGAGCTTGTGTGGCTTTCATTGTTATGATTGATACCAACTACTAAGTAACTTATTTTTATTTTATTTTCTTGGAGCATTTTATTTATAAACCTATTTGTTGATTTTCATAATATTTACAAAATTCACAATTATTCGAACTTGATAACATTCAATTCAGCGATAAATTGAAAGCAGATATAATCAAATTTTTTATATTTTTAATCACAATATAGAATATACAGAGTTATGTTATACTTTTTCACCAGTGATGTCACAAAAATTCTACAATTACCTGGCCAATCGAAAATCACTATTTATTTAATGCAGAAATATAAAACGAATGGTTTAAAAAAAAAGGCTTTATTTAAAAAATTTACACACGAAATTCTCTTTTACTCTTAACAAAAAATTCTATTGAGTAATTTTTACCACATGTGGTACCAACGTCTGACTTTGATATAAATACAAGTCGCTGTTATTATACATTAAACGCTTACAGTAACATTTTTATATAATAATCTTAAAAGAAAACATCAGTATAGAAAGATTTTACAACGATATCATTATGTCTAGATGACCTAGACGTTGGTATAACCAGAGCGAAGTGTACCAAACTCAATGTAAATATAAATATAAACAATTTTAGAACATCAGACGGGTGAAAGTTTTCTTCACACGAATATTCACCCAATTACGACGATAAACAATAAATAATTCATGTTGGAATTCGTTGATTGGTCAATCGCGTGACGGACAGTTGCGTTTTAATTATATGGATGCTTTGTGTCGTTATTCATAAAAAAACCAATAGTATATAATAATCGGCTATTAATGTTGTTTCTGACCAGGTTCAAACAATTTAGACCAGAATTGGCAAGTTTAATGGTTTAATACACTAATAAAACTATCCTAGCGTTACCAACCTAAAAAAAAGTTCGCTGGCCAATCAGATTCCAAGATCAGGTGTTACGCAGAAGAAACGCAAAAAATCAAAACAAAGCAAACAACGTTCATAACTCACAATTTAACCTATGAAACTACCTACTGCGCATTGATTTAAAATTTTCTTGCAAAATTTTGATGCTGGAAAACCTCCTACTAACCTGAATTAATAGCAAAACTAACACTATCCTGCAGTGATATTTTTTAGGTTGGTAACGCTAATTATACGCTATTCAAATACTAATTCTAACTCTAACGCAATTTTACTTCAAGGAAAAAAGGACATGTTTAGCTATCATATCACGACATTCTATTGTTAAATGCTACAAGGTAAAATTTTAATACATGGCATTTTGTCCAAAAGTCACATTTCCTTAATATTATATTAGGTTGACAAGATTTCCATCTTAATTCAAACGTATCTTAATTAAATATTTCATTCAAATCTTATTAATAGTCAAAAATTAATATGAAGCATGATAGTAATCCTCAACAAAACACATCTATACTAAAAGATCCGGAACAAAATTCCAATAAAAAGTTTTCTTTTACACAGACGCGAGCTTTAGAAAGAACTAAAAGTGCGCTTGAAGAATCCTTAAAAAAGTTTAATGCAAATTTTAATAAACATCCGTCAAAGTTTCTAAACAAAGAAGTTGCTCATGTACAATCTTGTTTTAACAGAGCAATTAATAATTTGAGTGATCTTATGTGCGAATACATAAGTTTTCCTAAAGCTTCACAAATTATAGCCGAAGGTGTTGTAACTAATTTTGATACTTTATCACACATATATAAAGAAATTAGCGAATCACTGGATGCTTCAAGGAATGCCCAAATTAACACATCTCAATTCAGTGAATTATTAACCGTGCCAAAAGATAATGAAATCGGTTCATCATCAGATGTGTCAAAGGATATCAAAAATAGTTTATCATCTCAGTCTAAAGAATTATTAGCAATGTCAGCAGTTCGACCTAATAAATTGGTAACAATTTTAAGGGATGTCGAAATTAGTACGTCGTTTCAGCCTAATGTAATGCTTAGAGAAGATGAAATGAGTACATCTCAAAATAATAAAGGCCAAAAGAGGAAATTCATAACAAGTGATTGTAAAGATGGAAACGATGTTACATTTCCCAACAAAAAACGCAGGAGTGAAAAACTAAGTAACTAATTTATGTTTATCAAAAGTTTTTCTCGTTCAAAATTAAAATGATTGTCTAATTTATTTAATATTTTTTTTAGTTATTGATGCTCTAAAGAACAAAAGAAATGATCTAAAAGCCATTCCCCCCATAAATGACACGCTATTTGCAGCAATGGCGATTGGATATTATTCGTATAACGAGTCATGGGAGGCACTTGAATATTTGGGTGACAGAGTGATCGAATCATGTCTTTTTAAGGTTGCAAAATCTCGATATCTTTCTCTTTACTCTGCGGATGATATCAAAACAGGTATAATGAGAATAACTACCAATAAAATTTTGGCTGCATATTCCATTACACTTAAACTTCATGAACTTAATAATATGAAATTTTTATCTGTAAGAAAGTTTCATGCCGATGCATTTGAAGCATACTTCGGTGCTTATTTTCTTGTATATGGTGAATTGCTCACTTGTACATATCTTGACTACTTAATGACTCCACTACTTGATCTTATTATTAATCATGTTGCATCTGGTAACAAGACTACGAATGATTCATATAATCTAGCTTCTGAATATTTTTCAATGTCATGGATTCGGAATACCAATTTTCTAAATTAATAGTGTTAAAATTATTTCTATTATTTCTGTATTGTAAATGCTACTTATTAAAATAGTACAATTAATTTATCAGATTAATATGATGTTATATCAAGACTTGTGCTTGTTTGGGTTAAAATTATGAAAAGGTTAGGCTATCACAAATTTGCATAGAGGTTTTTTTTGTTAAAGTATTTTGTTTTCACAGCACACATTTGCTTTGCTTAATACATAATTGCGTTTACTACCTCAGATGTAGATAGACTTGCATAGTATTGCTTAATTAATAATATAGATCAATGGTGATAATGCAAAGGTTTTAATATGCAGTTAAAAAAGTAGATTACTGCTCAAATTCTATCCCTTAAAATGTTTTCCGGGCAAATTTGCCAGGAAATTTCATGATTGATCTGTGATTAAGCTATCAAATTATATTGAATTGTAGTTTAAATCGTAGTAGATACGTAGTTAAATTGACAGTTTATGGGATAATAAAATTTTATGATTGTTTTCTATAACGAATTAGAAAACACCAGTAGGATTGCCCAACTAATAATAAACAAAAGATTATATTTAAATACATGCAACTCTGGTTATATCGACATTTTTTTAAATATTAGTTAAAAATTTCAAAAAGTAGTTACAATAAGTTATACACGTCACTCTGGTTATATCGGCACCTCATAAAAATAAAGAAATTGTCCGATATATCCAGATGTCGGTTTAACCAGAGGTATTTTCACATTAAGTTATAGATTCAAAATTTTAAAAATGCCATTGTATTCAGATGTTGGTATTAGTGTTCCACAAAAAAGATCTGAATGGATCCAGTATTTTTAATAGGTATGGAAATAGCATTTACAAAAGGTACTCGAACTAAAGCTGTATATAGTTAATATAGAAAAACACAATTGCAGCAGGCTCCTCTGTCTAACATGTAGCTGTAGCCAGTAGCAGCTATATAGGATAACTTTCTCGTGATTGGTCATCACATTAAGGACTTACATAGCGTCGCCTAGAAAAAATGGTGGCCGGATTTTTTGCTGGCTTACATATGACTTAGAAAACTGATTGTTGGTAAAATAATGTTTATCATGACATGCTTAATAATGATAAACATTATGGTAGCACTTGATTTTTGTTTTTGACTTTCGTTTTGATTTTCGTTTTGACTTTAAATTTTCCTTTATTTTGACTTTCACTTTAACTTTCATTTTGGGTTTACTATGATTCCTGCTTTGATTTTCAGTTTGATTTTCGGTTTGACTTTCACTTTTACTTTGAGAATTTTTGCCGTTGTAATCGTAAAACGACGAGTCAGTCGCCAATCGGTAGGGTTCCTCGTGTAACCACTTATGAAGGTTAATTCCGGTCGAAAGAGGTGTGTTAGATTTGGCGGGTGGTTAACAAGATTATGGATCGGGTTTTCTTAATCGTAGGGGGGTTCAGGGTTGGTTATTCAAGATATGAGAACACTCTTTTTGTACCTTACAGGTTAGGGACAGATTTTTGTTATAGCAATGGCAATTACTGTTTAATAAAGATACTCAGTTTACAAGCAATTTTACTATGAGTGTTTAAGCAATGTATTATGTACTATGTATTATGTATTCGCTAAAGGGAAGTTATCATTCCCGAAGGGCCTTTCGGCCTTTATTTATAATTGTCTGTTTCTATTTACTTTCTGCGATGCATACGAATGATGCTACCTAAAAGCCCATTCTGACCGATCGCTGCTATCCGTCATATCCGTCATATGCGACCGATGTGACTGATGCGAC